TACAGAGAGGAAGGGAGAGGGATAGAGAGTTAGAAACATCGATCAGCTGCCTCCTGCACACCCACCACTGGGAATGTGCCCACAACCAAGATACATGCTCTTGACCAGAATCGAACCTGGGACCCTTCAGTCCGCAGACCGACGCTCTGTCCGCTGAGCCAAACCAGCTAGGGCTAAGCCTCTTTTTAAAAATGTAACTACTACAGTAGTAATCCAGCAAGTATGACACTGAGCACTTTGTGATTTTTTTTTTATTGTAGAGTTTATACCACAATCCATTTAATAGATGCTCCCTATTGGAATGATTCAAGAACATGAGCATCTGTCTTATCCTTAGAAATAGCCTCGACATTGGGGTGTATAGCTCAGGATTCCTCTTTAAACTTGTGAATAATTATCAAAAATCATTGTTAACCAGAATTCTTTCTATTTTTTTAAATGTATATTTATTGATTCCAGAGAAGAAGGGAGAGGGAGAGAGAGATAAAAACATCAATGTTGAGAGAGAATCATTGATTGGCTGCCTCCTGCCCGCCTCGAGCCTGCAACCCGGGCATGTGCCCTTGACTGGAATCAAACCCGGACCTTTCAGTCCACAGGCCGACATTCTGTCCACTGAGCCAAACCAGCTAGGGCTGAACGCTCCCTTATTCACACTAAGGAAGGGCCCAGGAGTGAGAATGATCTGACCTTAGAATATTTATGTGGGTTTGGTTTCAGAACTCATTATGATTTTTTTCACGTTCGTCTTAATATATCTTCCAGTTAAACTTTAAAATAACCCATGTTCTTTGGTAAAAAATATTAACAATTAAGAAAACCTAGAATGTACTGGGGCAAGTAGGAAGTAGCCAGAATTTAAGCCTCTTTTTTAAAAATATATATATTTTTTTTTTTTTTTGATTTTTTACAGAGAGGAAGGGAGAGGGTTAGAGAGTTAGAAACATCGATCAGCTGCCTCCTGGACACCCACCACTGGGAATGTGCCCACACCCAAGATACATGCTCTTGACCAGAATCGAACCTGGGACCCTTCAGTCCGCAGACCGACGCTCTGTCCGCTGAGCCAAACCAGCTAGGGCTAAGCCTCTTTTTCAAAATGTAACTACTACAGTAGTAATCCAGCAAGTATGACACTGAGCACTTTGTGATTTTTTTTTTATTGTAGAGTTTATACCACAATCCATTTAATAGATGCTCCCTATTGGAATGATTCAAGAACATGAGCATCTGTCTTATCCTTAGAAATAGCCTCGACATTGGGGTGTATAGCTCAGGATTCCTCTTTAAACTTGTGAATAATTATCAAAAATCATTGTCAGAAATTTTAGTCACAGCATAACGATTTGTTTTCTTCTGAAACCTTTTGAGATACTCAGACAGTGGCTGCCAAAAGATACAGGCAGAATGAAAGCAGTGAAAGGGTGTAAGTTGGAGTGTTGAGCAGACGGTGGTACATAAGCTGAAGGTGGTATGTAAGCTGAAAGTCCCAGGCCGGTGTGGCCATGGAGGGGCGGTGCCAGCCCTGCCCCCCACACAGGACCACCTCAGTGGCAGATGATGAAGCCTGTGGCTCAGAGTGCTGGGGGCGGGGGCGGGTGGTGTGGACATTGTTGTACGTGTGGTCACAGCAGGTGAGGGTCCAGGGCGGTGTGAGTGGCTCACACTGTCGTCGGGCTCTCCTGTGCGGGGCACCTCTAACGTGTGTGCTCTGAAACAGTGCATTTCATCAGCCTAATAAATTGGCCATTGGGTTACCGTCAATAGTAGGTCTCAGCAGACAGCTTCACTGTCATAGACACAATGTGAAGGTCATTAGGCCCTGTGTAAGCTGAAGGAAGACAGTGCTTCTGATAAACGCTGCCACCGTGTGGTGCCGTTAGTATAGCCACAGTGCCCTCCCTCGAAAAGGCCTTACAGACTGATGGACAGTCCACATCTGATTTTGCTATGGAGAGTGAACAGGTAGGACCAAATGGAGAGACGGGAAGTGCTTCCACTTCCTCCGTGGGGTCCTGACAGCAGCCAGGGAGGCCCACTGGTGTGCCTGTGTCTCCTTTGCCTTGGAACTCCACCTGGAACTCGGGCATCAGGTGAGAGTGTGGACCATAGTGCACAGTATGTGCTTCGGGCCATTTTGTCATCAGACACCATGGTGGGGGTAGTCCCGTGTATGTTGCATGTTTGTATGACCTCTGCATTCAAAAATAGCTTGTACAGCTCAGCTCCTTCAGCCTCCCCAGCGCTGTGAATCTCTGGAATGCACCACCTCTCCTCTCTCTGTTCCTTCTGTCTGTGCTGCCCTCAGTCACTCACACCTCCCTGGGGCCTGAACATCGCTGTGTGTGGCAGGGGAGGGCACCGGGCGCCGCCAGTGGCCAGTGCAGGAAAGCGGGGGCAGGGGTTCCGAGGCACAGCCAGCCCTGCGACCCTGGCCCGTGTGTATGTGGAGGCTCTTTCTGCCTTTTATAATTAACCCCAGATTCTTTGGGCCCTTGGGGATGGACATAGCGGGTGATGATTCAGGGCGGGTCCAGCTGAGATTCACGAAGGAGCCCTTGGAAGGGGCAGGTGAGGTGGCGTTTGGTTCAATCCATGCTCTGTGCTTGCTCCACAGACAGCCAGTCAGACGTGGAGACATCAGCCGCAGGAGGCGAAGTGCTGGACCTCACCTCTCGGGAGAAAGAGCGGCCGCGGTCAGAGGGGGGCCCTGAGCCCAGTCAGGTCAGAGGAGAGGTCCCTGGAGAGGAGCTGACTCGGGGAGCCGCTGAGCCCACGGAGGGGGAGGAGCAGGCCTCCGAGGAGAGCCCGGAGCCCGAGAAGCGTGGTGTGGAGGAGCGGGAGGAGGATGAGGAAGATGGCCCCGAGGAAGACACGGTCAGCAACAAGAGCCTGGACCTCAACCTGGCCAGCAAGCTGATGGGCTTCAAGCTGGCCGAGGGCGACGCCGGGGCCGTGGGCGGCGAGGGCTCCCCGCAGGACCAGAAGCACACCTGCGACATCTGTGGCAAGAGCTTCAAGTTCCTGGGAACCCTGAGCCGCCACAGGAAGGCCCATGGCCGCGAGGTGCCCCGGGAGGAAAGCCCGCTCCCTCCGGAGGGCCAGGGCGAGAGCGGGGCTGCTGGGCCGGTGCCTCTGCCCGCGGCCCCCACGCTGGAGCCGGAGGAGAAGCCCGAGCCCCCGGCCGAGGGGGAGGCCGGGTCAGAGGGCCGGGCAGAGAAGCCGGGCGAGGAGGCCGAGGGCACCTCCGACGGGGAGGGCGCGGCCGAGAAGAAGTCCTCAGAGAGGAGCGACGACGACAAGAAGCCGAAGACAGACGCCTCCAGAAGTGTGACCAGCAAGGCGGACAAGAGGAAGAAGGTCTGCACTGTGTGCAACAAGAGGTTCTGGTCTCTGCAGGACCTGACCCGGCACATGAGGTCCCACACGGGTAAGGGCAGGCCCGGCCGTGGCCGCTTTCAGGGAGGACCCGGTCCAGGCCTGCGGAGGAGGCCGCCCTCCCCCGGAGCCGAAACAGAGGCGGAGGACTAACAAGCCTGCTCGTGCCTGTGAGCCCTGTAAACGGGGGATTTAACAGGCTGTTCTCTTAGCGCCCGAAACGGATGGGCTCCTGCAGGGAGGCAGTGGAGTGGTCCCTCGGCAGTGCTGTCCTTGAAAGCACCTTGAGCAGTCCCTCTGAGCTTCAATCTTCCTGTATCTAGAATGGGGGTGATGTCTGTCCCCTCAGATAAGGAGGGGAATATGCGTGCTGGGCGTTTGGGCCGTGGTCTCAGCAAGCCCTGAGCCTGGAAGGGGACTGCGGGGTGTGGCCTGGGACAGGCAGTAGGGACAGGTGCTCTGTTTGGAGACACCTGGGTTTGCCTTTTTACTAACCTTCAGGTGGGCAGAGGGCCCCTTGGGGGCTTTTCCTGTCTGTCTGGGCTGCTGCGTGGCCATCCGGGTCTGCGCTGCACAGGCCCTTACTCCTGGGACTCACCGGCGGTTGAGGCTACAAACCCCACAGCAGGGGCTGTTGTTTAGTAGGAAGGAGACCTGGATACACTCCTGAAGCCAAAAGATGCGAGCACATCGCCACCCCCTCCCTCCAAAGAACCCAACCCAGGCCCTGGTCTTCGTCTCGGCTTTCCTCCTCCCTCCCGGCCGGCGGGGTGCACACCTCTGCTCCCCGCACACTGCCCCGCCTCATGCAGCCATTCTGCCCTGGCCTGGGGGCGTTGGAGGCTCCGGGCTGGTCCTCCCAACAGACAGATATTCTTGGGCTCCTGGCAGGGGGTGGTCTCAGCTGCTCACAGCCGGCTGTGAGCTGAGAGAAGCCCCAGCTGCAGCGTATCAGAACGCGGAGTGTCTCCTGCCTTTGCCTTGGGAGGTGCCCTGTCCGTAGAGCCTCAGAAACGTGCCTGTCCTTGTGGGAGGGTGCCACTGCTGTCCTCATGGGGCTCTGGTTCCCGGATCAGTGTGTGGAAACCCGGGCTGAGGAAGACGGGGAGGAATCCCGGGGTGGCCCCTGGCGATCCTGCTTCCCCATTTTACCAATTCAGACGAATAAGAGGTTTCCCTGTAAAGGAGGGCGTCCTGACCCTGCCACCCCACCCCTGGTCTTCCCCTCGTGGCTGCTTTAGTGTGGCGCTGAGAGGTGGCTCCTGGTGGCCTTACCATTAACAAACATTTCTCTCCCTCATTGCTGCAGGAGAAAGGCCGTACAAATGTCAGACCTGTGAGCGAACCTTCACCTTGAAACACAGCCTGGTTCGCCACCAGCGTGTCCACCAGAAGGCCAGGCACGCCAAACACCATGGGAAGGACAGTGACAAGGACGAGCGGGGTGAGGAGGACAGCGAGAGCGAGTCCACCCACAGTGGCAACAACCCCGTCTCGGAGAACGAGGCGGACGCGGCTGTGCTGGCCAGCAACCACGTGGCCGTCACCCGGAGCCGGAAGGAGAGCCAGGCCAAGGATGCCGGCCGCAGGGAGGACAGGGCCCCGGGCCGGACAGCTGGCGCCGGGCAGGCTGAGGCCGGCAGGAGTGCTCCCAAGGCCGCTCCCCCGGGCAGCCCCGCGGAGCAGGCGCCTCAGGGTGATCCTGACCCAGAGAGCCCGGTGGCCCTTGTGCAAGACCTGCTGGAGCTGAACGGCAAGAGGCCCGCCCACCCCATCCTGGCCGCCGAGGCTGCCTCGCCGCTGCTGGGAGTGGAATGACGGCTCCTCCTGCCCCCAGCACACCGGCAAGGCCCGCAGAACCGTGTCCTGAGTCTGTTTCATGAGGTTTCCTCAGTGCCTGTCAGCTGTTGGAGAGGGAGACGAGGAAGGGCCGTCTCTCGGTGCCATGGCCTTAACCGCGCGCCCGTGCGGGAGAGCAGCACGGACGATTCGAGTGCCTTAACTACTTACCAGTCCTTCAGTGTCGTCCTGGGTGTTGTGTTGTCCCAAAATGACTTTAAAAACAAAGCAAATATTTTAATGAATTATTGGAGAGGACCTTTTCATTTAAGCATTAACATTACTTCTGTGTTGGTGTGTGTGAGCTTGTTCTTGTTAATCTGATGGTAGCATTTGTTCTGTGAGCTGGAAACAGAAGAAAAACATGCCCTTGGATACCCATAGCCAATAACTGGAAGAAAATGATGTGAATTTTCATGTAAATTACCAGAGGAAATATGGATGAGATGCTCATTTCTCATATAGACCTTTATCTTTCTTTTTTTTTTTTTTGTCTGCTATATGGTGGAGCTGTAATTTGGTCCTCGATATTGAGGATGTGGTGGATGGAGGTTTCCAGTTTGGTTCAAGCCAAAACCAGGACAGAGTCTAGCTTCGAACCTCATACATGTTTTGGTCTTTCAGCATTAGACATGCTAGTTCCTGTTCAAGTTCCAAGACATTTGTTCTTAACTTAGAGAGAAGAGTTACCATGGCAACTTAATCTATGGAGAACATACACAGGTGTCATGTATCTGATTTTCCCCTTTCGGTATATATATTATTAATATTATTATTATTATTATTTTTAGTTCATCAGTTTGCTGGTCTCTGCAATAAGCAGAAACAAATGGGCAATATTTGTCCTGGAGACCTGGGTGCCCCAGGTCCTCGTGTAAGCGTCTGCCTGCAGCTTTCCTTGCCACCCTCGGGTGGGAGCTGTTCTACTGTACTCAGACAAGCCTTTCTTCCGGACTGCAGCGCCCGCAGGTCCTCCGCACACGGCCGAGGAGCAGCTCGGGGGAGAGGGTGCGTGCCCCCGGCTCCTGAGAAAGCAGGGGGTACGGACCCACTCACCGGTCTGCCACCCCCAGCCAGGCCTCCCCTCGTGTGCTACTGTCATTTGCAAGGCGAGGAAATACTACTGGTAATAAAACTGCACGTGCAAGATTGAAGATGAGAAATTGATTTATATTGACCTTCCTGCGATTTGGGATTGGTGCTTGAAGATAGACTTGTTTCCAGTTTCTGAAATAAACTGAACCCCTGGGTGCAAAAAGGCAGGATTCTTTTTTTTTTTTTTTTTTTTTTTTTTTTGTGAGCATCCAAAGCAGGCAATACACTTCCTACTGTAGCTGAGCCCGTGCTCCGTGCTCAGCATCCTGACCTCCACTGGGACCCCGAGGACACCCGAGGCCTAGCGCTGGGCCTCCTGCGCTGCCCCACCCCTCACATCCTCGTGCCTTAGCCCAGGGAGCCCCTGCCCTGCCGCCCTCCCAGGCCCCTCCACACTCAGTGTAAGTGTGCAGGCAGGCACACAGACCCCTTCCTCACCGGTTTCTGGCGGCCAAAATCCAACCATCCAGACTTCAAAGGAAGCTATGTGTTCTTGAAATAACGAAAGTGGTATCTTTGCATGTGAAAGGAAAAAAGTTGAGGTATATATAATTCTTAACTGTATTAGGGATGTATGAACCAGTTTCAGAACAAGGTTTCATTTGCTCTAGGTGAAGAGCCAATGGTCCCATTTCCCTGCGCACCTGGTGGGGCCTGCTTAAACCAGTTCATGCATCCCTTCATTCTTTATGACGATTGTTGTTATTTTCATTGTTGTTATTATTTGGGGTTTCTAGTGTTTTCTTTTCCTTTGCGACTCTCCACACTAAAACTCCCAGCATGTGGAGAGGCCGTGACACAAGTACGCTGCAGCAAGAGGCCGCAGAGCGCAGAGCGAGGTGCCACGCTGTGCAGCTCGCAGGAATCACGATCGATTTAAAGCTTTATTTAGCCGCCTCTGCGCCCTGTAGTCAGTATGGTCTTGCCACGTTTTATTAGGTTGAGAAATGGATTGTTTGTTGTTCTGCCCCTCCCCCAATATTAAACTGTGAAATTTGTGATTTGTTTAAACTCTGGGTGAATCATAGCTTAGTTTGCATGTCCAGCTAATTTGTTTCTATTCATTTTGTTTGATTCTCTTTCTCCTCTCAGGGCTTTTACAAAAAAATATATATATATGGATCTTCTGAAAAGTTTTTTGAGGTGCAAGTTTTTCTCGTTTTTCTCTTTGATTTGTGGACGCAATGCTGAGATTCAATCACTACATGAAACTCTGGCTGTGAAAAACAACAAAACCCCGGAGGGCTGCTTTCCCAGCGGCCGGGGAGCTCTGTGGCAGTCGGATGATTCGTCGTACCTTCAACCCTCTGTTCGCCCCTTTTCTCCTCTCTTTTCTTCAGGAAGGAAGTGATCCTGGTGATTTCAGCCCATGCATTACACAGGAAACAATAATAAATGTAGAGTTCATATTTTTCTAAAGGGAACTTAAAAACTGCTGCTACATGTTACGTGCAAAACTGGTTTATGCCACATGAACAGAATCACAAGATTAGTTTTGGTACTTTTGTTCCTCTTTGTATTCAGTTGTATAATACTTCCAAATTCAAAATGAGAAGAAACGCTGTTCTGTATCAAACCATCTAAGCAATAAATGTCATATTTTAAAAACGACAGATTGCTTGCCACACAATTGTCCTGTGATTGCTGTAACCCTGTCAGTTTGTCCTGCTTCCCGATACCTGGTGGCCCTGGAGCTCAGTTGTGGGGCGGCCTGGGGACAGAGTCCGGAGGAGCCCGCTGCTGGTGTGACTTAACCCCCAGTGCACGTGGCCCCTCCCAGGCCAGGGGCTGCCCTGTGGTTTAGCAGCAGCTAAGGCTGGGGACTCTTGTTTTCTGGGCAGCGACTCCTGAGACGTGTGCTGTGCCTTTTCCTTCTCTCGCCAGTTACAAGGGAGCCAGCCGCCCCTGGGTGGGGGAGGGCCCGTCATTCAAGGGAGGGGCTGGACGGCGTGATCGCAGGCCTTGGGGACAGCAGGTCCGAAGGTCTGTCCTTAAAGCAGCGAGTAGGCAGAGTCCTGAATGTTCTCAGCCGCGAGCTGTTCTCACACAGCAACTGTGGAGGAAGCTGAGCTCAAGGGAAACTAATTGTAGAGGATGTTTCAATGCACTGACCACGCTGGGCCCTAAGGGGCTGGTCACAGCAGGATGAGAGCTGCAGGGCTCTGGTCCGAGGCTTCCTCTGCTGGGCCTGCTGCCCCCACACACCAGCCACACGCACACAGCCACCAACACACACAGCCCCACACACACAGCCACCAACACACAGCCCCACACACACAGCCACACACAGCCCCCAACACACAGACACACACACACAGACACACACACACCAGCCCCACACAGCCACACACCCACCAGCCACACACAGCCCCCAACACACAGCCACACACACAGCCCCCAACACACAGCCACACACACAGCCCCCAACACACAGCCACACACACAGCCCCCAACACACAGCCACACACACAGCCCCCAACACACAGCCACACACACAGCCCCCAACACACAGCCACACACACAGCCCCCAACACACAGCCACACACACACAGCCACCAACACAGCCACACACACACAGCCAACAACACACAGCCACACACACACACAGCCACACACACCAGCCCCCCACACACAGCCACACACACACAGCCCCACACACACAGCCACACACATCAGCCCCACACGGGAGACAGCTGGGCCCAGACACCAGTGCGGGCTCCCAACTTGTTCTAAGTGAAACAAGCAAATCTGGGATGGTGGTACCACAGGCGAGCAGCCTCCTGCCTCTCACCTCCTCTGGGGTGGGTGCTGCTGGCCACCAGTGGGCACCATTTCCAGCCCCACTGGATGGAATCATCTTCCTCGCGGAGCTGGGACAGTCCCTGGTCCAAGTGAGGAGTGAATGGGAGGGAGTGGAACTGAGGGGAATGCTCCACACACCTACCCACGCTGTGCTGGGAGAAGGCATATAGGAGGTGGAAGGATGGAATCTCCAGTTCTCCCTGTCGGGAAGAGAGCTGATGAGCAGGTGCATCGGTCAGATGCCTCTCCCACCTCTGGTGTGAGCCCACTGGGGCCTCCAGAATGGCTGCCCCTCAAGGCCTACTCCTCCCCTTGACCTTGCACCAACTCTGTACCTTCCCAGTCTAGTATGTTTACTGTCTCCCACTATTAAAACCCAACTTCCACAGGAAAGAAATGCTTTGTTCCTTGCTCTATTTTCCATGCCTAGGGGAGTGGGGATGGAGGAGGGGAGTGGGGATGGAGGAGGGATAGGACTGGTTGACCAGTGAGGCCAAGTGACAACAAACAATAAGTCACCCACCTGCCCAGCGGACACATGTTCATGAGCATGGACCTATGAACCAGGAGGTCACAGTTGGATTCACAGCTATCGGCTTGTTGGTCCTGGCCAGGTTGCAGGCTTGATCCCCAGTAGGGGGCATGTAGGAGGCAACCAATTAATAATTCTCTCTCATCATTGATGTTTCTCTCTCTCCCTCTCCCTTCCTCTCTGAAATCAATAAATATATATATTTTAAAAAGTCACCCATCCCCGCTCCCCTCCTCCCAGATGTCTGGGAGAACCCGGCGAGAACGACCCTAGGAACATGTCCAGCCCGTCAGAAGCCACATGACTGGAGGAAGTGAGCAAGGGAGGGGCCAGAATGGATGAGGGTGAAGAGGGACACACTAGCTATGTATTAACAGTGGGGTGATGGGGACAAGGGCGGATGCAGGGAGGCCACCAAGAGGCAGCCACAGTCATGCAGGCAAGAGACGGCGGTGGCTAGGAGCAGAGCAATGTGACAGTGCTGGGAAGGAGTTGAGTTTAGGTATATTTTCAAGGAGCTCCAACAGGAGTGCATGACAGATCAGAGCTACAGAGAAGTCAACGCTTTGAGAGTCCACCCGGAACACAGGCTCAGAGGTTGGCTGTGATTTCTAGATGTTGGGAATTACCTTTTTAAAAAATATGTTTTTATTGATTTTAAAGAGAGAGGGAGAGACAAACATTGATGTGAGAAACATCAATTGGCTGCTTCCTGCACGCCCCTACTGAGGCTCGAGCCTGCCACCCAGGCATGTGCCCTGCCCTGGAATCAAACTGGGGACCTTTTGGTGCTCAGGCCTACGCCCAAGCGACTGAGCCACACGGGAAGAGGGGGCTTCCTTCCTGAAAAATAACCTTGGTAGCGGATATGTTGCCAAGGAAAAGAAAAGAAATCCTTGGACCTTTCTGTCCACCCCACCTCCATCCATCCCCTTCTCCGTCCCCACTCCCACAGGAGCTGCTGAGTCCCTGGGACCAGGCCGTGGGAATCTCTCTGTGGCGGGTCCCAAAGAAGCAGCCACTCCTCTCAGTGTGGTTGCTGGGCCTGCCCTGCACCCTGGCACCTGCTCCTCCTCCTTACATACCCTTGTCCTCAGAGAGGCTCTGGGCACACTGCACCACGGCTGGCAGGCCACTCCCTGAGGACCTGTGGGAGGGACCGGGGGTAGGGGGAGTGGGGCAGGAGGGCGGCCTTGTCCTCTTCCTGAGGGGCAGGAAGCCTGAGGGTTCCCACGTGTGGCTGCGGCCTGGTGGCTCTGCTGGAGCCAGATGGGCTCTGATGGCTGAGTGGATATTCATCTAAGCGGCCTTGCCCTCCTTCCTGATCCCCGTGTCCCAGGCATAGACAAGTCCGTGATGACAGCGGGTGAGCTTGGCAGCGCCTGGCAGTGCCCATCAACGATCCCTCTCCCACACATTTTCTGATTTCCTTGAGGAGGAGCCAAGGCCAGCAAACATGGGGCTGGGCTTGACCTTGACTTGATTGACTGCCAGGCGAGTGCGCCGGCCCCACGAGGCGGCCGTCAGTCCCTCTGTGCTGTGAGCTGTGGGCCCAAGCAGGCCTTTTATCACTGTCCTCTCTCCCCCCAGAAATAGGGAGATACAGAGCGTTGAGCAAGCACTTGCCTCTTGCGGCCGGTCTCAGTGGAACAGCACATGTTGTGTGTGTGATAAAACACACAACCCCAGATGCACACGTAGCCTTCTCCAGCACACAGTCCACCCTGCGGTACAACCATCACCCCATCCACCCACAGAGCTTTCCATCTAATGAAACTGAAACTCTGTCCCCATTAAACCCAACTCCCATTCCCTGGCCTCCGGCCCCGGCCCCCACCTTTCTGCTCTCTGTCTCTACGAACCCGAACCCGAGTCCTCTGGGGACTTCCCCACGTCAGTGGGAAGAACATCAACAATGTCGGAGAGACAGGGAATGCAACGGCCACACTGAGAGCCTGCTGCGTGGGGCCGGGCAGGGGACTCGCCCGCCTGCCCGGGGAGCAGGGGAGGGTCTCCAGCATCAGCAGGAGCCGTCTCGGGGCCAGCTGGCTACGTGCAAAGCCCAGCTCTGCCTCTTGTGCCTGAGCAAGGCCTCCGTTTCCCCATCTCTAAGGAGGGGCCCACAGCGCCTGCCTCCGGACTGCCCCGCGGACCAGAAGCGGGAACACACTGAAGGGGCCGGGCAGCACCTGATGCCAGTGGGCACGTGGGGTGCGGCCGGCTCGCTCGCACTGGGCTCTCCTCATACAAGTGCTGCGCCTGCTGCCCAGGGAGGCAAGTGGGCATCTTCATCCCAGAGGCACAGGCCCCTCCTCCCGCCTGGACGCATGGGCCGGGATGGGAGACAAAGGAGCAGGGGAGGGGCGTTTGCCCGGAGGGCCCGGTCCTGGCCAGCTGCGGGCACCACACTCAGTGCCCAGGATCCCAGGTCAGCCGGGCCTTCAGAACACACGGGTCCTGGCCTTTGCCAGTTTGGCTGAGGGAGAGGAATGGGCCCAAGAGAGACTTCTGGAGCCTCCCACACACCCACTGCCCACCCGGGGCTGGGGAAGCGTGGGGTCTCAACCTCGCCTGACACCTCAAAGGCTCCCTGCAAGCGAGGAGGGTCCCAGGTTCCACCGCCGCCCGCTCCCAGCCACCAGCCTCCAGGGCCCAGGACCTCACATGGCCTTGGCGTTCATCAGACGCCCCGCCCTGGGCTGTGGGGGAGGCGCCGTGCTCTCTCTGCTCCCTCACACCGGGCAGCGCAGCGGGCAGCGTCCCAGAGGCCCCTGTCTCAGCTCCTCACTGCAGGGCAGGCCTGGTCTGAGGATGAGGGCTGCAGGAGCCAGGATTCTGCACACGGTGAATGGGGAGAAGGCGGGTGCAGAGCCCACAGCTGGGTTCCTAAGAAGATGGCCGGGCAGCCACGGCAGAGACAGCTGTAGATTCTCCTCTAAGACAGAAACCAACTCAGGCGGAGCAGTGCGAAGCCAGAGAGGCTTTGGAGCTTGTGGGTCTGAGCCCTCTGGTGGCCACTGCTCAGCTCCGGCCTCAGCCACTGCCTGCGGCGGCCAGGGCATCTCCGCGTGTCTGCCCTCCCGCTGCTCACGCCCTCACTCCAAAGGCTCCCTGAGGGGACCCCAGATGCGAGGAGGACACCACTGTGCCAAGTGCCCAGGGCCCCTCCCTGTCCGTCCCCAGCTCCCCCAGGAACTAGGGAGGACAAGGGTTTATTTTAAACTTAAAATTGAAGGTTGCTCTTTGACAACAACAACAACACAGTCCCCTTGAGTCTAGGCTGCCAGAGCC